AGGGAGGGAGGGAGGGAGGGAGGGAAGAAAGAAGGAAAGAAGAAAAGAAGGAAAGGAAGAAAGGGTGGGGTGGTATACACCAGAAAACACAGAGGGAGGCTGAGGCAGGAGGATCACAAGTTTGAGTCCCACCTTTGGGCAACTTAGAGTGACCCTGGAAAGAACCAGGGCATCACACACACCAGGTGACCGGTCACCACTGAGCCACACTCCCGGCCCTTTAGGCACCTTTTTCCTAAGCATTGCAGTCTGTACCTTGCGGCCCCAGAAACTGGCGCCACACAGAGGACCACTGAGGCTGCTTCCAGATCCTTGCCAGCCCAGATAATCCAGTGACGCCATGTCCGGGAGGCGCTCCTACAGGCTGTGCCCACGCGTCTTCTTCCTCTGTCTCCCCCGCCCCAAGCCTTGCTGTGTCACACCAGCACCCAACCTCGTACTGTCCCCTCCTGTCCTCAGCGGCCCAGAGACTTCCTGCAGATGGTGCTGGATGCCCGGCACTCCCCCAGCTCCGCGGGTGTGGACAGCTTCGATCTCGTCAGAGAAGCCCTGTCCTCTGCGGCGCGCACAGCGAACCCCTCGCCCCCATGCCAGCCCGAGACCCCGACCCAGCCGCTCACTGTGGATGAGATCGTGGGCCAGGCCTTCCTGTTCCTCATCGCCGGCCATGAGATCGTCGCCAACACGCTCTCCTTCGCCACCTACCTGCTGGCCACCAACCCGAGCTGCCAGGAGCGGCTTCTGAGAGAGGTGGACCTTTTCCAGGAGAAGCAGGTGAGCATGGGGGAGCCGGGCATGCGGCGCCGTCGGGGGAGCTTCCTGCCACCCTGCTGAACCCACGCTCCGTGGCTGCGATGCCACGGGGCTGTGAAGTAAACCGAGTGCTCAGAAAACCAGGAAAAGACTAATGGTGTCCAGTGTCCGTACTGTCGCTGTGCAGGACAGCCCAGGAATCAGGTTGGGGATTAATAATGTCCCCGGAAGGACAGAGGTGGGTGGGCAGCATCAGAAAGGAAGCCAGGCTGCCCGGGGGAGGGGAAGTGAGGCGGGAGAAGGAGGTGGGAGAGGACGCAGGGAAGGGACAGTGATGGGAGGACAGGCGAAGCTGGAGCAAGTGTGAAGACGGAGGAGGGGGTAGGTCACGGTGCAGGGAGATAGGATGGGCCGTGCGAGGCAATTCTGGGCGCGATCGCGACCGCGACTGCAGGGGCTCATGGTGACTCCCAGGGGCTGAGCTGAGCTCCTTCCCCTTTTCTGGGTGTTCTTTGTGTCGCAATTGTTTTGACCCACACGATGTTAAAGATGATGTTTTTTAAAAAGCTGTGCTTTAGATGGGTGTGGAGGCTCCTGCCCTCAATCCCAGTACTCTGGGAGGCTGAGGCAGAAGGATTGCAAATTCACATCTAGACTAAGCAGTTTCATAATCTAGCAAGATCGAGAGAAAAGAAGAAAAGGAAAAGAACCTATGTCTACAAGGCAAACCTCTTCCCAGAGCCCCAGCACCTCCTGATGTTACTATTGCATGTGTGATTTGGGAAGGGCGATTGTTCTGGTACTAGAATCAGACAAAAGCTTTAACACAATGAGCAGAAGACTGTTTCCTAGAAAAGCCCGCTTCTTCATCCTGCTGGGGAAGTAGAGGCAAGTTTGGCGTTATTCTCTATAAATTTTTAAACATTTGAAAGCTGCACAACTGTGTCGCTGATCGCCTCAACTTTCGGCCCCATGCTGCTCAAGGTCAGCTCGGAGTTCTGTGTTGTTATGACAACTGTCGAGCCGGGTCTCCCCAGCCCGCTGCACCCCGATTGATCTTCAGAGCCTAGATGCGAGAGTTTGTATTTATCCTTATTACTGCTCAAGTCAGTCGAAATAATTTTGAATCTTGATTTCCCCATCTGTCATATTAGCAGGTCCTCCAGCCTGGTGTCACTAGAGACTCCCCAGGCATGACTCCCATTTCATCCAAGTCACTGATTAAAATGTGGAACAGAACAGGGCGTCCCTCAGATTGACATTGATCCATTAATCAATATTCTTCAGGCATGGAGTTTCTACAAGGCATGAATCCCAATAATCCGACACCCTATCTTATCTTGTTTCATACGTCATCCTTTAACATTTGCTTTAAATTGTAGGGAGGGGATAGAGGGACCCAGGTGACCCGTGCACGTGGGTGCTACTGCAGGGGAGAAAGGAGAGATGGAAGGTGTATCCATTAGGGTTTATTTCATCACGCATACTAAAACCGCAATTCAAATTGATTTTAGCAAAACCAAAAAGAAACAAATTCATAAATTTGTTTCTGTGAGTACAAATTATTGTACAACTCAGGAATAGATGTGGCTTCAGGCAGAGCTTTATTTGGGCCTCAGAGCCGTGCGCAGGGCTGGGTGTCTGCGCTCACTGTCTGCGCCTCTGGTACAGCCATTCTCAGTCACTCTAGCCTCTGTGACCACACAGTCCCTTGCTTCTTTAGAAGATCTGTGACCTTCAATTCCCAGCAAGCCTCCCAAAGGCCACTGTAAGGTAACTGCCCATGGGGAAGTCACCTGTCGTGCCCAGAGGGCACCTACAGGCCCTGCCTGGGATGGATCACACCCAAACCCAACCATCAAGGACATGGGAGAGAAGTAAGCCTAGGGTGGGTGCCAGGAAGGCTGCACAGGCACAGGAAGCCCCTGGATGTGAGTAAATCAGTAGGCAGATTAAAGTACAGGTCACCAAGCTGGGCATGGTGATGCCTGCCTGTAATCCCAGCACTCAGGAGGCTGAGGCAGGAAGATTGCTGTGAGCTTGAGACCAGCGTGGGCTACATAAGCAAGTTCAAGGCCTGGCTGTACTACATAGCAAGATCCTGTCTGGAAGGAAGGAAAGAAGGAAGGAGGGAAGGAAGGAAAATAGGTCACCAAAGCATCCAACAAGTGCCTGGCACCTGGTAGATTGATGGAGGCTGGGAGAGTGGAGGTTGGCAAAAGCTCCAAGAGGTAGAAATCATGACTTTCGGCATGAGGGGATTTAGAAACAAGTTGTAGCTATTAAACAGCATCTTCCACGGGTCCAGAACGTGGCTTAGAGAGCTGCAGAGCTCCGGGAGGTGCCACCTGGCTCCACACGTGGCCATGTCTGCGTGTGCTGGTGTACCTCGGCCACACATACCCCTTCCTCCAATGGGCCTGACCTGGCTCTGCCCTCAAGGTGGGGAAGGTGACACTGTCTCACCACACCCTGGCTTCCTTTAGTCTCCCAGCCTGGGACCTTGGCTTCTCCCCCAAGGGACTCACATCTCGTGTCCCAAGGAACTGAGGATACCCATGAGCAAGTAAACTGATTACGGTAAGAAAAGGCTTTCAAAGCCAGGTGTGATGGTGCATGTCATTCCCAGCACTTGGGAGGCTGAGGCAGGAGGATCCTGCAAGTTTGAAGCCAGCCTGAACTGCATAGCAAGACCCCAAGAAACCTAGATGGTTTTCTTTTCTTAGAAAAATAGAAAAAGGAAAGGAAAGAAAGAAGGCTTTCAAACTTTAATGCATACAAAGCTATCTAGGAAGACTTGAAATGCAGGGTCCCAGGCCCTGCTCCAGAGGTTCTGATTGCATGAGTGAACTGGGGCCCCCAGAAGCTGCATTTCAGTAAAGCTGTCCCGTGATTCTGAAGCAGGTGGTCCCTGCTCAGGGCGCAGACCCCTCCTCTGAGGGCCCCGTGCCCTGCTCCATCCACGCACGGCCTGCTCATTCTCTCTCCCTGGGTAACATTTTGGTGGTCTCAGGAATACCGAGTTGTCTTTCCAGAAATACAAATTTAACTGTCACCACAGCATTGTTCCGTGTAGCCGCACGCACAGAGCCCACTCACTGAGTATTTGTGGGTTTCCTTTTCTTTCTCTCTTATTTATTTATTTATTTTTTTTTTTTTTTTTTTTTTTTACTATAATCAAAGCTCTGTTCATCTAGGCCATCTGTCAGGAGATGGAAATGCAGATTAGACGTTCACACATTCGGTATTTTCCTGAAAATATTCCTGAAAATTTGCATGTAAAGTATGACTTGTTACAATTTTCCTGCTGGTTTCCATTCAACAAATATCTCTTGAGTGCCAGTTAATGCCAGCTTCGGGGCTCCCAATCCTCCCTATGCAGACGGCTGACCTGGTGTCGCTGTGCTGTGACACCCTGAAGAACGGCCACTACCCCTTAGCCTGTCCTTTTCTTGCTTTGTGTTTTTTCATTTGCTTGCTTGAGACAGGGTCTTGCTATGCAGTTCAAGCTGGCCTTCAACTCACTTTGTAATCCAGACTGGTCTCAAACTTGCGGCTATCCTCCTGCCTCAGCCTCCCGAGTGCTGAAATTACAGGTGTGCACCACCACGCCTGGTTATGACTGTCCTTGTGTTTGTCTCTGAAGTCACTGGGTGGGACCTCTAGAGCCGCTTCTGCCTGAGCCATTTCCTCCGTGGAGCCGTACCTTTGGGACCTGTGGTAAGGGCTACATCCCACCCCAGAAAAAGGATGCAGATGTACACTGTATCCATTAGGACTCCCTCTGCCAAAGGTGCAGAAAACTAACCCGAACTCAGCTCCTGGGCCTGCTAACTTTGCAGAACAGGCAACTCTGGAGGTCACAAACTGCCTTTAGAAGGATTTTTTTTTTTTTTTTTTTTTTTGCTAGCTCAAGCTGCCTTAAGGGTGTGTCTCATAAGGCACGTGGAGCTGGGGACTGAACCAAGGTATCCTGCGCCGGTCTGTGTTTACATGAGCAGGTGATTAAACAACTGAGCTAATCGGCAGGCCCACACACACTGCCTTTAGCAGCAGCTTGACTCAAGCTCCATCCCTTCGCCGGCTGCTCCACTTTCCCCAGAGTGCACAGGCATCCCCAGGCAGGGTCTCCAAGACAGCCTGGGCCAGCTGCAGAACCATGATTTGGAGCAGAGTGAACTAAGTGAGGTCCAAACACGAAGCCTTTTGGGTTTTCCCCAATTACTTCCATTAGATGCACTCTATGAGGTCATCTTCTCTTTCCTTGGTAACCCGGCTAGACCTCAAGGGTTCTTCGGAGGCAGTAACTCCAAGCCAGTCTGGTCCAGGCTAAGAGCCTCCATCCTCAGATCCAGTGCCTCCGTCTCAACTCTGGGGAAGGGCCCCACCTCCAAACACCATCTATGACAATACGCACATTGGGGATCAGATCTCCAGCCCCTGAGACCTGGGGACACCTTCAGACCATGCTCACTTCCTGCATGAAGTCACTCGAGCTCCCCAAGTCCCTGTTGCCCTTGTTGTTATACTGAAGAGTGGGTGCGGTCATTCAATTGTGCAGGAGCAGGGAAAGATTTATACCATTTGTAAAATCAAAAACATGCACCAATTTTCTGATAAAGCCTCCATGATTTGGATACTTCATTATATTTAAAATATATATAATTCCAATTAGAAATTTGAAAAGGGTAGGAGAAGAGAAAAACAACTTCTTTCCACCGAAATTGTTTTTGTTCCGGCTTTAGCACTTTATATTGAAATTATTGACTTCTGATCCGGCTAAACTGTTCTCTTTTCTTCTCGTTGGTGCCGGACTTTGCCAGCCAAAATTTATGACCCATTTTCCTTCTGCTTAATTGTTGGTATAAATCTGCTGTGCAGAACCCAGTTGTAAATTTATCACCCACTGGATATACTGCCTCTTTTTGGGATAATTTGAACAGTTATGGCTTAGAAGGAGGGCCGGCTTCTTAAAACTTCTCTTGAAGAGCTGCTTCGCCACCATGATAAATATCTAATTA